ATGATGTTGATATACTTTTGTTCATATATATTACATATTTTGTGAATATGTGTGTACGTATGTGTGTGTATATAATTTGTGGTTGTTATGGTTCAGCAAGCATCTGTTGAATGCCTGCTATGTGCCAGGCACTATGAGTAAGCTCTGAGGACACAAAGTTGAGTTAACTATAGTTTCTGACTTGGAGGCCTCATATATTGTAATGACGATGTAGACATAGGTGCTGTAGTAGCCCTTGATATGGATGGAATTATATTTTATTATTATAAAAATTTGTATGTGAATATTTTGAAATAGGTTTAGATTTTTATACATTTATTCTTTGAAGGCAAGTGTGCAATTTACATAGAACTTTACATTAGCAATGCTCAGTGTTTAAAAATTCAAATCACAAAAACACAAAGTTATGGAGGTTTATGGGAATAAAATACCAATATTTATGTCGCCCCCCCCCCCAAAAAAAAAATTGTGGCAAGAAGGTTTTCATGAGAGAGAGAGGGAATGGTAAGAAATTTCATTTTAGTACATGTGTCCTTTATGAATGTTTTCCCATGATGACAGTGGTGTGCCCCTTAACAGAACATTTACTGTGTGCCCCCAACTGTGCTAAATGGTTCATGTGTATTATCTCATTTAATCCTCCCTTAAACCCTGAGGTGGATACTGAGGTTTCAATTTTACATGAAGTCACATGAGCAATTTTCATACTTTTTTTCCTAAGTTAAAGTTACACGTACAGAATCAGACTTTGGAGGCAACACTAGTTTTACCATTATGACATATTGAAAGAAAATGAAGTGCACATTTTCCCAGCTATTTTAAATATCTTTAATATCTTATACTGCATGATATTTCATGTATCATTTAATCATTTCACATATGCCATTCAGTCTTCACAAGAAGCCATGACATAGATAAGGCCAGTAATGCCCAGGTGAGGCTACAAAGACACAGGTGAATACATTACTTGGGTGACATACAATGGTGACCAACAACTAAATCCCCGGCTTCCTGACTCCCGGTTCAATTTCCCATTGTATTGGGTACTTCCTCCGCATTCATTCAGTTTACCGAAGAATAAAGTTGTCTTTGTTCTTTCAGGTTTGCCTTCTCCCCGACCCTCTTCTGCTTTAACTTACTTTTACTTCACTTATTTAGCTAATAATCCAAGAATGTTGCTAGAGTAGCAAAAATTTGATTAGAATCATCACCTTCAGCATTTCAGGTAATGGAGTGGAGTGAAAACAGCGTAAAAAGCAGAGCCCATGTATTCTGTGCCCAGGCTGGCCTCCTGGATGGGTTAAAGTTGACATCTGGTATGGCTTTCAGTGCTGGGTCTTCTGGGAAGCCCTGGTAGAATACTTGACACCAGGCATTAGATCTGACCCGAGCATTAGCCCAAGCAAGCTCTGTGTAATTAAGCTGTTCGGATTTGTTTCCCCTGACCGGACAGAAGAGCCTTACAAGGTGAGGGCTCTGTTGAAGTGATAAAGCTGATTAGATCCTTAGCAGTAAAGGAATCTGATCTTAGAAATTTCCTCTAGCTCTTGTTAATGAGGCAAAGACAACACTTAGCAGGGAAAATGAGGTCACTGAAAAAGAGAAACATTTTTTTTTTAATAAAGAACCGCTTCTTTTAAAGCAAGGCCTAAATTTATTGTCCAGAATAAAGCTCCATTTAAAAGAACAAATAAACCTTTTTCTCAAGGGTGTAGTAATCATGTTTAAATATATCATTTATATGGAGCGAAGGAAGTTTAAACAGTTCGTGAAGGTAAAACTAAGATAAGCCTAGAATTTAAAGTAATTTAATTAATGCTGACTAAAACAAAACTGAAATAACTAGCAATGAGGAATTATACAGATGTGTGGTCTATTTTTAAGAATGTTCTGTTTGGTTTTTAAAACTGGGTTTCTCACTTTTTCAGTGCCTTCCCTTGAACTACATTCATGCAAATAAAATATTTTCCTGGGATACACCTATCCAAATCTTATATATCAACAATGTTGGTAATATTACCGTTTGGTTTATGAAGCACTTTTACAGAGGGCACTTTCAATCCTCATAAAGTATTGTAATGAAAGCTGCAGTTTATCGGTATTATGGAATTGGGACTTGCCTCTAAAAGGTTATATGATTTGCTCAAGAATTTGTAGATGAAGACTTGGGAATCAAGAACAGGTTTTCTCATCCCCAAGAAAGTGGCTTAACAACCACAATTTTTTTTTCAAGTTATACATTGTTTAAAGTTGATTCCCTCCTCTACTTCTTGCTAAGGTTTTGTTCCGATATTTAAAAAGTATCAAGATAATTGTCCAATATTTATGTCGCTTTATGTGAAGCATAAATCATATGTGAAGCATAAACCATATATATCTGTTCATGGGTGAGCTATCCTTTCATCATGAAGCATTTCTCTTCCCCCAAAGATTTTGTTCTCCTACTTCTCAGCTTCAACTTATTCCAGTGAAATCAAAAGGCTAAAGGGCCAACCTGAAGTTGAAAAGAAATGACGTAGGAGAAGGTTTGTGCTGGGAGTGGATGGATGGGAGATTAATAATCCACCCGGCCTACTGTGTGCGTCCTATTGTCATTGGCTTTTGGGTGGATAGAGAAGTAGGGACCAGGATAGGAAGGCTGCAATGCTGATGATACTGCTGTTTAGTCATAGAACACCTAATTAGTATGCTATTTAAAATGACATTGATTTTTTTAAAATTTCAGACTTTAAAAGGAAATTTAAAGCCTATTTAAAAGAAATATTCTCACCGTTTGCTTCTTTATCTTGAGAGGTAGTGTACTAAAGTGGATGGAAGAATACAGCTTAGAGGTGGGCTAGCTCCACCACTTGTTAGCTGTTAGACTTTGGTCTAGTTACTGAACTTTTCTTTAAATTGAGGATAAAAATAATACCTACTTCATATGATGGTAGTGAGGATTAAAGGGGTGTGGTGTGGTGGTGGGTAAACAGCAGCTGCTCACATGAATGTGCAGGCTAGTTTAGGACCATCTCTTGTTTATAGTAAGTGCAATACATGTTAATTAGTTTCAGCCAACATTAAAACTTCTGACTCCGCTATAGAAAAACTGTCAAAAAGTTACCCGAACACTCTTAATGGCTACCCCCAGTTGATACTTTTTAATTATAGTTTTTCTTGACCTCTTTCCTGTATTTCATATATATATATTGTCTATGGTAATATATATATTACCATGGCCTACATCTTTTTTAAAAAGCCATACTCCCCAAATTTCCAGTTTGTCATTCTATTTTCACACAACGACAGTAAGCTTCACTGTTTTTACTTTCCTCCATCAGCAGCCCTCAGTCTGTGCTGAGCTAGAATCACAGCCTAATCCCAGGTTTGGCCAGTATTCCCAAGGAAAAGGAGACATGGCTGGACATGGATCACAGGATCACCATGTAGAGACTGCCCTCCTAAAACCTGTGTGCATATAGATGCCATTGTTCGTGTACATATCTGATGTTCTGAATGTTGATTATTGTAATTTATCTGGACTTTTCTAATCCTTTTGGTGGGAGTGGTGGCCTGCCTGAAGCTTCCTGATAGTTCTTTCTCTTCCTCCCCTGACCATTGTGTCTGAATCACACTTTGTTGGCTTTACTTCTGCTGACTGGCTTCTTGCCTCCTTTTCAGCGCTTTTTCCTCTTCTCTTCCAGATACATCTGCTCAGCTCTCTCCTAATCATTTACCCTGTATGTATCCTAAGCAAATCAAATTCGGAATGTCTGAATTGTACTTAGTTATCTCCTCTCTAAAATGTGTACCTTTTGCTTTATCACTAGTCCAGGCTAGGGACCTCCAATAGTATCATTCATCTAGGGGACCAAACCAACAATCATAATTGTCTCATCTCTTACTGGAACTAATGAGTCAGTAAGTTCTAGTTGGTCTGTTTCCTTGGTATTCTTTACTTTTTTTTTCTTCTCATTTTTCTATTTCCATTGCTACTAGCATATTACCAGACTGTTTCCAGTCTTATCTTCTGTTAGGTCATCTTTACCGGATAGCCAAATATATTTCTAATAGGCTGATTTGATTATGTAATTCATAAAATAAACATAAACTCCCCCTTACATTTCTTAAAATATTTTCCAAAATACTCCAAAATTACTTGTGTATCTTAATAAATAAAGGAACCCATAGTCAAATAAAATGTTGAAATATGGCATGCTATCTCTATTTTCTCTTTAAAACTCACAGCACACATTATTAAAAGAAAGGCTATATGAAGTTCTGCTATTGAATCTAACAACAATGCTCTATAACATGAGCTAATATTTGAACATGGACACTTTTTTGTGTAATATTTGTTTATATAGAACTATTGACAGGATATCCTCCTGACATCACTCTGATAGTGTTCAAGGTCTACCATTTTCCTTACTAATCCCATCTCTTCTTCTTTGAGCCTTTGTAGACATACAGATTATATTTATTTAGTTCCCAAACACACAGCTCTATTTCCTTCCATATTATATTATCCCTTTTGTCTGAAATGCCACTAATCTATCTGATGAGCTCTATCTTTGAAAATTCAACTCTTTAAAAAGTTTTGATCATTTGATATTTGCACTGGTTAGTTTACTGCTTGGCATATTGGAAGAGCTCAGTGTATATTAAATAAGTAACAAAAAATAGAAAATAAATGAGAAATTTAGAGATTTGGGATTTGCTGGATCTTCCTATTCATTTTGTGGATGTATTGCCCATTCAGGAAATCTAACAACACTTTATCGTATTTTCTTAAAAAATTTAGTGAGAGCTGCTTGACCTCAATAATTTGATGGCTCTTCAAAAAACTATTTTATTTATTTGTGGAAAGTTTAGGAAATGACTTCACATTACAAGATACATTTTAAATTCTTATAGCGAGAAAATCAAATTAAGTTTTTAAGCGTTGTTGGCTATTCTTTTTCTTCTTTGAAAATTCCTTGTAAATGATTGTTTTAAATGTTTTCTATTTTTTCTGACAGGTAATATTCGAAGCCGAAGTCTCAGGAGGGAGAAGTGGATATATTGCCATTGATGACATCCAAGTATTGAGCTATCCCTGTGGTAGGTTGTGATTAAGAATTGCATTTTTCTATGCTCATTCACCACTTGTCTTACATGGCAGTGACTGTTGATCGCTCATCACTTGATCATCGCTCTCTCCTTTGTTGTTGTTACTCCTAGCCTTCTCCTCAGTTTTAAGGGAACACTGAAATATATCTAGAGCAGTGGTTCTCAACCTTGGCTGCACATTAGAATCACCTGGGAATCTTTTTAAAATCCTGATTTCTGGGCCTCATCCTCCAGAAATTCTGTTTCTTTGTTATGGGGTGAGGCCACATCATTAGTAACAAAGAAACAGAATTTCCGGAGGATGAGGCCCAGAATCAGATTTTTTAAAAAGATTCCCAGGTGATTCTAATGTGCAGCCAAGGTTGAGAACCACTGACCTAGAGGCAACCTGGCACCACAGAAGAGGCCAAGAGGCCATATGTTTATTTACTTATTTATTTATTTACTTCCTCCCAGTTCCCGCCCAACCCCTGCCCTCACTCCCCACCCACTGTCCTCATCCATAGGTGCACGATTTTTGTCCAGTATCTTCCCGCATCTCCCATACCCCTTTCCCCCACAAGAATAGTCAGTCCATTCCCTTTCTATGTCCCTGATTCTATTATAATCACCAGTTCATTCTGTTCATCAGATTTCTTAACTTGATTCTTAGATTCACTTGTTGATAGATGCATATTTGTTGTTCATAATTTGTATCTTTACCTTTTTCTTCTTCCTCTTCTTAAAAAGAGAGAGAGAGATGGGGTGAGGAGGAGGAGAGGAAAAAAAGGAAAGGGGGAAGGGC